AACTCTGCTATTGCTATATAATTGGAAAATTTGTTCTGACAGTTAGTGGTGAGTTACTTTCGAATTCGTGCCAAGAATCACACATTAGAAGGTGAAGAGACCATATTGTTAATTCTTAAATGATTCTCATTGATATCCCTAGAATTATATTTCTCTTCATACTGGTTTTCTTGACATTTCTCCGACACGATTTTTTCACGTATCCTTCATTTTCGCAATATTTCCATATTGCGAAATATTGCCATCTTATAAATTTACTACACATATACGTTTGTTTTATTTTGACAATAGTTTCTATTAGAATTCTGTATCAATCTATCAACTACTACATTGTTTAAATCTAGCATTGATTAGACTTTCCATTTTAATTGTGTTTATAAATTTTAATAGTCGTATGTTTTATATAACTATTTCTGTACAGAGAAATATATTTATTATTTGTTCTCAAAAAATATCGTTGCATTAGCGGTGTTGGCAAAAGAAGTTTTATGAACCTTTTTGTATCCCACGTTTCAGTACTTAGTGTTAACGTATAGCTCAACTTGCAGAATTTCAAGTTTGATACTTTGATTATTGTAAATTTAATCGCAGATGAGATAAATTGATCCAATATGATAGATAGGATTGAAAATGACTTGTTCTCGAAGAAATTGACTAACATCATATCTTTAATTTTCTAAAATGTGTCCATCAAGTGAAAAATTACATAAGATAGACAATGATATACTAATTGTTATTTAATTGTTTGTTTACGTGGGCTACATCGGAAAAACATGACTTCACATTATTCCATCACGTATCAAAGGGTCAAGGTAATATAGTCAATTTACTTTTATGTTTCCCAGACCTACAATTAATTTTATCGTTGGATAAAACTTTTCAAAAAACAATGTGGTCGGTAAACTGAACTTGAACTAACGTTTTCAATCTCATAGTTCAATGTCACTATATTATATTTCTTCATGCATTAGTTGAAAAAATCCCATTTTGATAAAGCATGTCATAGTACCTATGTACCTACGAAGTCAATTCGAATGGCATGAAAACTAAATAGTTACCGAACGTCGGCAGTTTCTTTGTATGGCATGGGCGGCGTGGTATAATTTTTTTGCACAATTATTTTATTTTTCATGAACCTACAGGAATTTTTCTATCAGTAGTAAAAATTATATCAGTAACTTATTCTTCTATTTGGCTGTTCGGATTGACTTCGTATAGACTATACTTGCTGAATTAGAAGCTATCGTCTGTTTGAGGTTTCAAAACATATTCAGTATATCATAAAAATAGTATTATATAATGATTTCTAAATGCTATAACATGTATACCGCCAGAATACTGCGACTTCTTTCTGAATTTTTTGACGAAAAAATCATTGGGAATTATATGAAAATATAATGTGCAAAATGTCTGTTGAAAAGATTTAAAAAATTTAAATCTAGAGCTTCTCTGAATGTAATATTTAAAATTCCAAATTAAAGTAATACATTTGAGTAGGTGAAATACGATAAAAATCGCACGTTAAACGGTAAGACCTTGATAGTCCTCAGCTCGCACAAATTTCGAATTCTGAGGGTTGTCGTTCGTAGGAGGGCGACGACTGGTTAACGGAAATACAGATTACAACAGATAAATCAGAAAAAAAACTTCGTTGCGCATATCATTTGTAATGATATTATTATTTACTTTTCACTATCATCACAACTATTTCATATAGAGTTTCGTGGAAACTCTATCGTTTGTGGAAACGATAGAGGCGGTTATTATTATTATTGAATATATTTTAATAGGATACATACGTTATAGCTCTCTGGCAGAATTAATTGATGAGTGAATAAATAAACAAAATTCACGACTCTCTAGAAAACTAATAATTCATTAACACAAAAAGATAGTGTACTTTATGTAGTATACGGAAAGTCCTTGATACCTCTTTCTTTTTAATTTGATACGTTTCAAAATCGTCCATTAGGAGCAGAAAGCTGCCAACTGCTAAGCAACGAATTCGTACGAAAGCTGTTCGTACGAAATCGTGCGATGCACATCGTCCATTGCCCCAGAATTCGTCCGTGTTCGTAGTGGGCGAGATGGTTCTTTGGAGCGGGTTTTTTAATTGTTCTGGTAAAAAAAATTTCGCTTTGGAGTTCGGAGTTCGCACTAGATCGCAATCAAATCCCAGCAGCACGGTATCGCTTCGCAATTCCCACCTAGTCGGACGAAAACTGACGAACGATACGAGTCAAGTGGACGCGGTCCCCTACCGATCCATGTGTTTGGATCGTTCATGCGTTGTCGTGCGAATTCTAACGAATCTATTTCGCAACTTATCGTAGTTTTCCGCTCCCATTGTCATCAAAGTATTTCGAATCGAAAACAAAATTATCTTCAGTCATACGCATTACTTTTCTATCGAAAATATTACCGGGAATGAATAATGGATATTGTTTGTTTTTGTTTAATACATCATTACATACTGTTGATTCTCTTGGTTGTAAAATGAGTTGTAGGTACTTTGATCGAAGCGTTCATAAGTAACTCGTTGAAATAAACCTTTTCGTACCTTCAAGTAACTGTGTCAATCTCAAACTAATGACACTCAAAAAAAACAACTACTAAAGATAAAGGTTCAGATAGCCCCTGAATTCCTCCTTTAGTATACTGATCTTTCCTATCTAATATTTATTCTGCTTCAAGATCCTTACATATGACTTTTCCATATTATTTCATTCAATATCAGGTATTTATCAGGTTATCTATTTTTCGAGTTTGAGACTGTCGATTTTTGGAGTTTCTTCCTGACGTTTCGCTGACGCGAGTGACCAGCTTCTTCAGAGGTTCATACATCCTGAGTCTTACGATTACGTAAGGCGTATTTATGTTGACTCAGGTAGCTTGGTGTGGTAATATCTGTACCTGGATTGGGTAAATTGCGGAAAATGTTATTCTTAAACTTCTCAGAATAGTATTCCATATTCGGTTGACGGTCACAGTTTCTTCTTTTCTGTTGACATTATCCGTGTGTTTGTGGATCTCTATTGTCTCCCGTACAAGTCGGTTATGGTATCCCTGGTAGGAGGTAATGAGTTTTCACTAAATGCGTGTTCCGCCACAGACTTCTCATTTTGGCCTAGCCTGCAGTTTCTTTCATGCTCCTTCAGCTTTGCTCCCATGGATCTTTTGGTGGTTCCGATGTATACCTTCCCACAAGAGAACGGTATGCGATGTACTCCCGCTGTTGATTGTGGGTCTCTGAGGCTGTGTTGTATCTTCTTGATGGGTTTGAAAACCGTATTAATGTTGTGTTTTTCCAAAAATTTTTCAATTATGTCTTTGATCCTAGAGATATATGGTAGATATGTGCGTGCAACCATCTCAGCGTTTTGAACCATGGTACCTTCAGTCTGATGGCTTTCTTGATGATGTTCCAGTTCTTCCTGTAGATTCTCTGGTTCACATATTCTTTGAGCTCGTTCAGTTAGAGTAAGGATGACTCCTCTCGTTCAACTAGAATGGTGGTTCGATAGTGTGTGCTGGTACCTATCCGTGTGCATGGGTTTCCGGTAAACTTTGTGGTTTAGTTTAGCACCACATCGTTCGATTAGTACATCTAGGGATGCTATCTGGTGGTCCAGTTCAGTCGCCATAATGAATTTGATGCTAGAAAAAGGTTTAGAGCGTCCCATTCATGTTTCCAGATAACGAAGGTTATCCACGTAACGTAGCCACAAGGTCGGTTTTAATACAAAGGTATCGATTGATGTCTCTTCAAAACGCTCCATGAGCTAAGTGGACTTCCCATCGCCACGCCATCTAATTGCTCATAAAAGTAACGTAGCCACAAGGTCGGTTTTAATACAAAGGTATCGATTGATTGCTCTTCAAAACGCTCCATGAGCTAAGTGGACTTCCCATCGCCACGCCATCTAATTGCTCATAAAAGTTTCCCACCTATTGAAATAAACTCCCCGTGAAACATGTTTTTTAGAGTTCAACGATATCGCTCGGAAACAAGTAGGCTAATTCCCTCAAGGAGTCTTCCAGTGGAACATCGGTAAACAAGAGCATAACATCGAAGCTGACCAGAGTATCTGTCGGCTCCGGAGTCGAGTCCCTAATTTTACCAACGAAGTCTGTCGAATCCTTGACATAGGAGTTTGTCTTTCCCACATGAGACTGGAGTAGCGAGGCCAGATGCTTCGCCAGGTGGTTTTATGTACTTTTGGAAGACCGTAGAGCCTGGGTGGAACGACTTCACTTCTGACAAAAGTTCTCTGTACGATTTCAGACAGTGAGGATGATTTTGTTAACGTTCCTCAACCTCGATTTTCTTGGGTCCCGTTGAAGTTTGCCGTAGTTTGCAGGGACTAGTTCATCAATTTCGCTGTTACATTATTATGTTTCTAGAATCACCGTTGCATTTCCCTTGTCTGCTAGAAGAATCGTGATACCCTCATCAGAGTTCAAGTTTTTTAAGGCTGCAATCTCTCTTTCTGGTATGTTGCATTTTGGAGGTCGCAGTCGTAGATAATATCCAGATATCGGAGATTAACTCAGGATGTATTAACCTCTGAGGAAGCTAGCCACTACCGCCAGCGAAACGTTAGGAATAAATTCCAAAAATCGACGGACTCCAAACTCGAAAAGTAGTGACACTAAAAACCTCGGCCACGAAAGCCTCAATCATTTTATCATCTTATAACTGGAAATTTTGCAATGAAACTAAACTTACTCGAGTTGAATAACATTGAGTGTGATAGATAGATATTTTATTCATGTCGTTACACAGAAGTGCATATACATACGTCACATATAATAGATTCAAAAAGTAAAAATTTATATGTATAAAAATGTATAATAGTACCTCAAAGAGTTGATAACTAAAAACTTTCCCGTAAACCACTTGTTAAATACAGTTAATTATTGAAATTTTCGATAACACCAAAAACTATGAAGTCAGTTCACAAAGCATCAACATTAACGTCTTGTTTTATTTGTTGCAGCCACCAGAAAATGAGTTACAAAAGGGGGAGAGGGTAATGTCTGAACATCAACTACGTGTTCAACGTTCCTTGCAGAAGTTGACCATCCCTGAGTGGTACAAGGAGTCGCAAGTTCCTCGCGAAGGATTTCTACTTAAAAAAGCATCACCGCGTGATTCCAGATGGACCGGTACAGGCAGCAAAACCACATCACTGAGCAGCTTGGGATCCAATGCCAATTCCCCTCCTGTTCTCAGTCCCACTCCTCTTAACCAACCGTTCGTGCGATGGTCCACGTCCAAGCTCAATTCCACAGCATCGTCCCCCTGCGCTTCAACAAGGAGTAGTTTCAATGCCAGGCAACCTAATGGTAGTATATCGCCTTCGTCGGTTAGGTCTAGTTTCAGTTACAGGCAACCTTATATGGGTTGGAGATCCCAAGAGAGACTAAACAAACCACGTACTCCTGCGGAACGTTTAGCAAGTTCCCTTCTGTCATCCCAGAATAGTAACCACCACCAACAACCGCAGGAGAGTCCGGAGATCCAAACCTCTATCAAAGAGGTAACCTCGGCCATAGTACACTACGTTAGTGGTCTTAGGCCGGAGGACCCCAGAGACAAAAGCTACGAAAGTCAGGAAACAGCCAGTCAAAGATCTAGCTCCGTCAGCCCGAGGGGTAGTCAAAAATTGTGCTGGCTGGAAAGCTCCTTTGTGGGTACTAGACCACTCGACTCGCCGCAAACTCCTGTAACGCTTACAGAAAGTCAAAACCACACCCCTATACCCCCTGCGACTCTTAGACTAGATTTACAAACTCACAATGGTAAGTCTGTAACCGCATCGTAATTTGAAATATTTGACTGGTATGAATGACGAACGACTAGTGAAATCGGATGTAAAAGAAGTTCAAAATATTGTAGTTACAGCTGACCTTTCTCCCATATCAGATATTTCAGATGCCCTAAATTTGGACTAAATGGTAGAGGAAAAATATGGATTTTATTATATGTGAAATTATAAAACAACAATAAAAATTAATTGGCGCTCCGGGGCGACTTCATTGATCCCAGTTGCGCATTTGCTTTTTCAGCTACAGGAAGAGGAAATAATGGAAAGTTTTGAGACTTGCTGTCAAATCATACAATAATATCATAGGTGCAGATTCAATCATGAAAAATAGAGGTAGACTGCCTCTCAACTCAAAATATCAACTTCTATTACAACTCATTGAGAGAGGTACTCGTCACCTATTAGATTCTGTTTTGCTTTCCAGGTGGCTGCCAGAAAATGATTTGAATCATGTTCTGGCAGCAACCTTACTTAAACTTGCGAGGTTTACACAACATGCTTTTGATACCAACGTTCACGAATAATTTCATGAATACAAGGATTTCAAGTTCCAGACATCTTAGATTTCCATGAATTCCAAACTTTCAAGTATCAACAATATATCATTTGGGTTGACAGAAACTTTCTGCCCAAAATTATTTTTCATATTTATTTTATTTGCAATAATGGTATCAAAAGTGTTTTTCTTGTTTTTTTTTTCATATTTGAACTGAATTATAGAGAAAAAAATGGTTTTTTACTCATGACCACGCAAACCAGTGGGTTTCAATCGTATAATATTGAACTTCTTCTTTTAAGAGTAAATAAAACTATCATCATCTGCATGTGCTATTTGAAGATTTTTGAAAATTGATACGATCTTAGACGTGTTTCGAATATTTTCAGCTAAAACCTTTTACTCAATTATTGAAAATTTCTGGTAATTATATTTGCGAAACATGATTTTCATTACATCATTAAATTTTCTACTCCGACGTTTTATTCACAGCTTTGATAAAAAAATTGATAAAGTACTAATCCTTGAAATCCACCCATTTCTATTATATGTTGACGGTACCATCTCATAACTCATGTGAGTATAACGTATGTTTATTTTTTACATTACAATGCATCATAATACTCGTACAAGTGCACGACTCTATAAAAATTAAATTGGAGTTATTCAGATACCATTTTTTTATTGTCCTTTATACAGCGTGCTAATATTTTCACTTCCTATCAAGAATGTGGTGAATGAGCACACACGTGGAGTTTTATTTTTATTTCTTCATTTTTTTTTAATATTTCTTAAATTTCTGCCTTCACATATGACAAATGGTAATCAAATGGCGTAACCAGATCTTTAAAAACCTTTTGAATGATGTTTAATACATTACAAGTGGGACATCGAAAGAATACACATGCATTTTGCAACCAAAACGATGTGGCTCCTACTCCGAACATCACCAAATTTTTTTAATAGAAAATATGTGTAGAAATATCCTCATATCTATAATTTCACATGGCTGGAGTATTATGATGCATTTATTTAATGTTCAATAGTGACAGACGTTTTAAACATTTTTGACGGCAACGAACAAAGAAGAAAGTATTTCAGAAATTAAATAATTTGAAATGATTCAATCGTTATGTCAGAAATAATTTTGAAATTTTTAATGCATAAAAAACAGGAGAAAGGTCAGCTGAATGATACTCATATTCCGAATGAATTATTTGTTATTGTTTAATGAGATTCAGCATTAAATGAAATTAAACAGCATGTGAATGAAAAACCGTCTAGTACTGTATAGTTACAAATATGATGAATCGTGTAAATACTCGTGTACAATATATTTATTTGAGCAGCTTTTACAAATGTTTCCTAGTCATTTAATTAAGAACAGAGTACCTATTTGTGATAGGTTTATGCAGTGTACTAATAACCTTGGAAGTTATATTGTAACTAGCATTAGATATTATGTGCTCCTGCTCTCTATCTCGGATATATCCAATTGGTGCTACGTGTTATTTTATTTATTTGATAATTTACGAATAATTTCCTTGTTAAACGAGCCGAACAAGCAAATTTCCTCATTTGAAATCCAAGTTGATATTTGTTTCATGACAAATAATCAACATTCGAGATGGATTTCCATAGTATGGTTGCTTTTATGTCACCTCATGGTTTACGGATTCTAGTAAATTGTGATGGTTTTGATGATGCCTGATCTTGAGACGTGACCTTGTCAGACAATGGACAACTGTAGCCTATTTTCATCCAATTCTCTCTAAGCACATGTTAGCTAAATTTGAACCAGGCCTCAAGCAAAACCTCGTGAATAATAAAGTTTTTACAATTGGTTATTTTGAAATTTAACGTTTTTCGTTTAACATTGTGTTTGTTGTTTATTGTTTCATGAAAATGACTATTTCTGGGGATAATCAAATGAAATATTTCAATCATTTCAATAATAACTTTATAACATTCAATATTTATCCATTGATTGTACAGTTTTCATGATGGAGCCTTTAGTATTAGGAATTAATATATTTAATAGGATAAAGTGCATATTGTAAAACACTTCTTCATGCACTGTTTTATTGTATTATTTTCAGATGGAAAATTTTCACCTTTGAACTGTTTCATATCATTATTTTATATTTAATGCATGTTTATAAGAACGACATATATAAGATTTATCAATAAATTGTTTTATTTTTGGCATTTTTTGTTTTTGTTTCATTTATGTTTTATTTCCATATGCACAAAACATTTTTCATTCAGTGATTCGATCATACTTTTGGAGAAGGAAATGTTTGGTTGTGTATTAGAGGTAAATATTTTTCGTTCAATGTGCCTTTTGAGTTGGTGGATACATAGTCATTCAAATCAAATGGTAAAGTTGACGTTTACCCAATAACTTTTCACAATAATTATATGGTTCCAGATTTATTCTATCAATTCATAAGGCACCGTGTTTGTTGCATGCTTCACTTGCTAGAAGGAACTGTGCCAACAGTTGAACTACCAAAGAAACGCATCTGCATTAAAATTGTATTTGGCGAATATAACCAATAATTACTAGGATTTTTATATGAAGGTTATTCATACATACATTCATTCAAGATAAATTAAACCCAAATTACTTTTCGATAATGGTCCAGTTTGGATGAAAACATAATTCTCAATGATACTTTAATTATTAAAAAAAATCGAAGAAAGAAAAAGAAAATCAATTTCTAAGCAGAAGGCAAATATGTAAGTGATTTATATCCGCGTGATGTACTGTTTGGAAACTTTGTTGTAGTAATGAGTATGACTTGGTGATTGAAAAACGTATCGAGGTATTGAAAATAACGATTTGGTGTTGGGATAAAACTCCAGTAATATTCAAAAATATTCATAATGAAAAAAAAACTCAAAACAATGCAGTGAATGCGAGTTAGCAAAAATTCTTCTTAGAATTGCTTACAAGGTGCTCTTCAGTTTCAATTTATATAATTTCAGCTACTGAAAACTATTTGCCTTGTGAAAACTTTACATTGATTGACATATTTGGATCTGTTGCCGAATTGAATGTGGGCAGTTTTATCGCTATTAACAATAAATGAATTCATACTGTCAGTGGTGTACCCAGAAAAACCCTCTAGAGTGAATTCAAAATTATCATTCATCTTATTTTGATGATTGAAAGATATAAAGGCTAAAATATCTGAAAGGCACGTTTATTGTGCATGTATGTCGCTACCAAACTATTCAACCTATATTTTGATATTCTTCAAATTATTTATGGATTTTTTAGTAACGGAAATGTTCATTCCACTGAACTAGTAGTCACATAACCCATGTTTCAGTATTTTTGAATTATTGATCATTTAGTCCTGGGGAGGAAAGGACCCCCTTGTTTCACTTTAGGTGCGCCCATGCTTATGGAATGTTAATGGATTTGTCAAAGAATGGAGTTTGTCCACCGTTTTACATGTGCAAAAGGTCATTTTTCTAACGATAATCAGGAGATTGAAAGGACTAGATGATCGTTACTTATTGAAAAAAGTGATACTAGAGTTGTGTGTGGGATAAGTACTTGTGTTACATTAATTCTCCACCAAATTTTGCAATGTCATATCAATCACAGGTGGGTACTATATTTACTAATTTTGAACTCAAATAACAGATTTTTTTCAAAAATAAAATGAAGAAAACGATGGTTGGTTCAACTGTTGATCACTGTATCCAGTTTTTTTTTAAGTTCATGCCTGCAGTAAAATTATACCTAACATATTTAACACAATATTTTCTTTATTTGTGTGTATTAATCTAGATGATAACTCTTGTCGAAATCGAGTGTTACTCACTAATCTTCGAAAAACAGGGCGTCTCATTATTTCATATGTGATTTCAAAGAACAACCTTATTTAAACAACAACAATGTCAATTTGCGTATATGATATCCTCAAAACAAAGTTGGCAGATTATTCTTCCACTAATCCTTTCGCCTTGATGATTTATTTCGCGAAACTCAGCATGTTTGAAATAAATGGGACATATTCTTGTAATGAGTATAAAAAAAATCTGAACATTGAAAAAGGTAGTACAGGATTTCAATAGTAGAAATTACATTTTTATATATCAGATTTTCAACCGGTCCCTGTTTTGTTATGAAAATTAACCAATTGAGTGAGACGCAGAATACTTATACGGCTTATCCTATTTGCAATATTTTTTCAATACAGTTAGTTAAAAAAGAATAATTTGCACCATTCATATATAATTATTCATAACGATAAAAAGCATATTCATAACTACGAAAAAATTGTGTATCTAATTCTCGCCGATTAAAACGAGTAAGTATTCGTTATTTTCGAATTTGAATCCAGTTCTTATCTGAATTTCAACTTGAAATCTACATCTATTGCATTGTTGAATAAACTGATAGTCTGCATATCATATCAGTGTTCATTTGAAAAAAATTGATATTGAGGGGAATAAAAATC